CCGGGACTAAAGATAGCGATCTTTAGTCCCGGATTGGTACTCCCGGTTTGGAAACCGGGACTAAAGGGGGGTTACGAACCGGGACTACAAAGGGTTTCTCCACCAGTGTATAAGGCGGATATATTTATTCGCTAGAAATCAAGGAACTTCGTCAAAGGTACGAGGAAGGAAAAAGTTTATTTATCAACATAGACATTTTAATTATGTCATCTATACTCAGGAACTTTTCATCTCTCTTATCTTAACACATCATTCGTCTGGTGCACGTATGAAAAAGGTATTACTGCAAAGTTTGTGGAGTGATCTAATTTATCACATATTAATATATCTTATAATTTTTTTTCATAATTATTTAAATGATATGCAAATAACGAGAGGATGTCTCCTCGAGAATTTGGAATCAGATTGGCTGATTCCAATATTACTTCTATCTGCATATATAGACCATGACAAATTATAAAACTCACACAATATACAGTTTCTTTGAATGATAGCAACTAATCACTTAATCAGCCTAATATTCATTCGTTCCCACGGAATAATACTACAAATTCTCTGAGAGATTTTAGGGCTTGGGAAAATAGTGAGCTACATACCTTCGATGGGCGAGAGGGACTGTGGACCGGAGAGGGCAGGAAAGGAATAGAGAGAGGGTCTGAGACGATGCTCGATCGCTTGGATCACCTCCGATCCGCTTGCCGCTGCCGCCACCTCCTCCGAATCACCTGCCGGTGTGAGTGTGATGTGCTCCCTACTACATCCCTGATCCCTCGACTCCGGGGGCCGCCGTCGCACCATAGTAGCACACTGAAAGAGATGTCCCACATGACAGAAAAGAGGCCCTGTGGCTTTCTATGCCACACGGTGACGACGAGCGCCACAGGCTCCGGTGAAATGACTAGCCCAGCAGCACACGCCAAGAGCCCAAGACATTCACGAGGCCGGAAGCTCTAGCCCGCAGGGTGCAAAGCCCAGTACTACTACTAACCCAGCCACCCGTAGCAGCCAAGAGTAAACTTTTGCACAAAAACCACTAGGGTTTTACCATGTGGCACATAACCAAGTTTCACAAAACCACACTATACATCATTTTTACTTTAATCTATCACACTTTTGTGTTCTATAATCACATCTGAAATTTATTAGTATGGAAGTATGTAAAATTGGTTAACGTTTGTGGTTTTGTGAAATTTTAGAACCATAATACATAATACTAATATTATATATGTCACATGCCAAAATCCCTATGGTTTCGTACAACTTGTATCATAATAGATGATGTTTTATTAAATTTACTCATAATTAATACACTCTGATCATTATAATTCATTTTACGTGCTGCCTAAAATGCTAGGCTATTCGTTTGCTCGAACTTAGCCTACGTCAATTGCTGCCACTAATTAACATTAAGGGTTAATTGTGCGTTTGACTCCATTCCAAAAGCTAACTATTAATTTGACCCTGTTTTTTTTTTTTACTTTGCCCATTAGATCCTATTTTCCAAACCAAACCTACCATTTGGCCCCTATCGTAACCATAACATTAGTAATGCAACTAGAAAGTATATTTAGAGGCGGAAAATGATCAAAATGCCCCTTAACTCACTTGGCCTTATCCTTCCATCTCTACAGCCACAACTTGAGGTAGGGTTTTTCATGCAGTGGAAGGGAAGCGTCGGGGCTAGCAGGCTATTGGGATCTCGCTTGTCAACGGGGACTCGGAGGGAGGGACGACACGTGGAGGGAGGGAATGGCGGCGGTTACGCGCGGAGGGCATGTGCAAGCTGTGGGAGGCGGTAACGGCGACGCTCCTTCTCCTTGATCCGAATAGGGAGGACGGCTACGTGCTCAAAGGTGGCAGGGCGACGACGTTTCTTCTCCTAGATCTAAACGTGGAGGACGACGAGTGGCGTCGCTTCTCCTCCTTGATCCGAGTGAGGACTCGGGGAGGATGACGGGTAGCAATGGGCGATCCAAATAATGAGGAGGACGATGGATGACAGGCGTCGGCGGCGCTCCTCCTCGATCCGATCAGGAGGACATTGGTGCGGTTGGAAGTGATGGTCAGCAGGATTCGGCTTTGAGCGAGCGTGTGGCGGTGGAAGTGAACGTTTCTGTCATTTTTATAGTGCTGGAATTAGATGTGTAACTTTTTTTACTTATGTAAATGTCATGAGCTTTATCATGGTAAAACAATTACTTATCAAGATTAATTAGGTTTGCGCAAAAAAAACACTGAGAAAGTTGGATCAAATCAACGCCATAAAAATATATTTTTCTTGAGTTAATAGGGTTAGATCTGACCTTTATTTTTTTTTAAAAAAAAAGGGTTCAATGAGTAAATTTGAAAAAAAGATCAAATTAATTTATAGTTAAGTTACAAAATATGATCAAAAGCGTGAATACCCCTTAATATGAGTACTCCCTCCATCCCAGTAGAAACAATTTTTTAGATGAATCTGAACGAGTACGTCCTCCCCGAATTTCATTCTTTTTGATAGATGATGTAGAGTAGAGGTTGCTTTTGGTCTAACTGTTCATTCAAAAAGAAAAGAAAAGAAAGCTCTCACCATCGATCGAAGCGGAAATTAATCAAAGCAGATCGATCGAGATATTAACCATCATGAGTTCATCACATTTCGTCATCGTGCTAGACTTAATTAATTTATCTTATAGCTGGACTCGTTCGCGTCAGTGGTGGGCCCATAATGTCGACATGCCGTCTTCACGTTCTTTAGCGTACGCCTATTTTCTTCCCTCTAACAATATATTTCCAGGCTGATTGCGTTGCCCATATATCGCCTGGTTAATTAATCAACCTTTCAAAGAAACAAATGAAACGTAGGCGTTCATGGTCATGAGCAGAGTAGTAGGTGATTAGACACACGGTTACCCCTAATTTCCTGGCAAAGTGGGTGAAGTTTCCATTGGTTCCTAGCTTAGATTATTGCACACCTGCTGCCTCCAAGAGGAAAATATGAAATAGCGTGATGAGATCATGCAGCCTACGTACGTACGCATTGCACGGCACACAACTTCGATCAGCATCAGATGCATGACTCAACTAGTCGTGTTCTTCTTCTACGGGTGATTAATTAAGCATGACAGTGGTTAAAATTGCAATTAAGTTGTAGCATTACATTAATATATTATGCCCCCTCCGCGAATTGTGTGGAGCTCGGCAGGTTAGGTTTTCTTGTGGTAAAACATGTCAACTCGGGTTTATATACATCCTAAATTTAACAAGTGTTCATAATTACGGTTAATTTCAGTGATACACGATATGTCGATGTATAAAGCATCCAATATACTTCCGGAGGGACTAAAATCACCTTCGGATTTTCATAGATCACGTCGTTAACTATTTGACACGCGATTGATCGTTTGTTCTTTTAAAAAAATCACGTGTAAATATACGAATGTAAATAATGGTAAAAGTACATTTAATGATAAACAAATTCATAATAAAAAATAAATAATTCTATAAACTTCTTTAATAATTAAGATGAATACTCAAACGTGTATCAAAATATTAACGGTTTCACGTGTTAAAAGCTCATGGCCATCGGCCATGCACGTAGAGAGAGAGCTCATGCAACAGTATAATGAGAGGGTAAATGGCTTTGGAGGTCGTTGGCCCGCTAGACGTGCGGGAAGGCCAGTCATGGCAATTGGCAAGGAGGATGGTGACGCGGGGGAAGAGATGAGGAGTTTTCTATGTTTTTTGTATTCTTTTTATCAATTTGCTTTTAAATTTTTAGTCAATTGTTCAGTCTTCAGAGCATTTTGGTATTGAAAAAGGTAAAACTTTTTTTTTTCAAGGAGAGTTGAAACCATTTTGACTTGCTATTAGTCAACTTTAAAAGTAAGTGGTATTTTAGAACAACTTTTTTTAATGAAACTAGTGGTACATGAGATTAGATAAAAAAACCATTAGCAGTTTGACAAATACAAGAAACTGTGGCATTTATGTAATTGGCCATTTTATAATATGTATTCCTCAGTTTCACATTATATATGTTTTGGACTCCATATCCATATGAATTCGGACACATATATAAATCACATACATCGATCCATGAATCTAGCTATTTGATACCCACAACGCCTTATAGTATGAAAAGTGAATCAGAGAAGGTAAATCGATATGAAATCGCTTAAATTCTTGTGTTCAACTTATGAGTACTCTGAGCTTCCATGTATGCAGGAGGGATCATCTGGTGGTGTATACGGTATACCATCCGTCCCATAAAAGATCAAATCTTAGCTATAAATTTGTGTATAAGTGTGTCCAGATTCATAGTTGGGATTAAACTTTTTTTTTTTGACTTAGGGAGTATAGTGTTTGCCTACTCATCACCACATGTATAAAGTGTAAACTTTAAAAGGTCTCGCCGTAGTGGCTGGCTAGGAGGTTCATCCATGATCCATCCTTTCATTTTTCGTAGAACTTTAAGATGTCAGGACAAAAGGAGAAAAAAAAAGAGGGTATGGGCGAGTCCTCTTATTCCAAACCTTAGTGCTGTGTGCAACAAAATTTTCCTTTTATACGGATGATTGTGAACATTAAAAAAAAGTTAATTGGATCTATGCCATTACAACTTTGTCAAATTAAAAAAATACCACTACTATTCGTTATATAGGCTACATGCCATTGAAAATTTCTAAAATTAGAACCATGCCAATTTAATCACATTTTCCGTCCTCCTCTCTCACGCGTCTCTGTTCCCGTCCTCATCCCGACCACTTCCTGGCGAGGGCGGCGTCGACGGCGAACTGGGCGAGGAGGTCCGGGTGAGTTGGATCGACGACGGCGAGGGCGGCGTCAACAGCGAGCTGGGAGAGGAGGCCCCGCCGACGCCACCTTGTTGCTGGCGGAATCTGCCATGCCCAACTTCATCGTCAACAAGCAATGACCAAAGCGAACAAATCCAACCAAATCAAAAGGCGGCAGGACGACGAGAACACGACGAAGAACTCAATGGGGATGACCAGATCCCGATGCGGCAGAAGCAGCCTGGTGATGTGCCGATGTCGGCGGCGGCGTCGGAGGCCGACCTCGCCCAGCTCTCCATCGCCATCACCGCCGGGGAGGACCTGGGCCCGTTAGTGCGGCGCGTGTTCACGTGCAGGTGCCCCGAGCCACTACTCGCCTCGCTCTGGGCCGCGGCGCGGGACCGGGAGACCGAGATCGAGGAGCTCTGCCGCGCGCACTTCCACGACTTCATCTGCGCCATTGACAACCTCCGCTCCCTCCTCGCCGACGCCGATGCGCTCAAGGGCTCCCTCTCGGGCTCCCACGCTGTGCTCCTCTCCTTCGCCGCGCTGCTGCTCGCCTCGCTCGAGTCCTTCCTCGTTGCACGTGGGTTCGCCGGGAACCTCTCCTCCGCGCTCGCCTCCTCCCGCCGCCGCGTCCGCCTGCTGGTGCTCGCCAACCGCGCCAACGCGCACCTGCAGGGCGGCAACCACAACCTGTACCTCGCCCTGCGCGCCGTGCCATTGACCGCGACCTCACCTTCAGCCCCTCCCCACCCTCCGCCACATGGTGCTCAGCCTCGTCCCCCGCGTCCCTGTCCTCGACGCCATCCGCGGAGAGAGTGCTCGGGAGCCGCTGCTGCCGTTGTCCTTCTGCGGTCGCGCCGGATGGAGGAAAAGATGGGGAGATGGGACCGACATGTGGGACGGGAACGGAGACGGTGTGGGAGAGTAGTCGGAAAAGGGGACGGGAGTAGCCGATATGATTAATAGGAGTGGCATTTTGAGATATACCATTATAATTTTGTAAAATTTAAGATATGTCATCGGTATCTCAATGACATGTAGAATCCACATGAGTCAATGACATGTGGGTCAGGATGGCATATCTTAAATTTTGTAAAATTATAATGGCATAGTTCTAATTTTCCCTTTTTTGTTCTCACAAAGTTACAGTGGCATGGATCCAATTAACCTTAAAAAAAAGGAATCTAAATACCCATTACAAGTGAGTAGTCTTTCAATTCTCACCCTTATAACGGTGTTCATAAGTTTATTTCTCGTCTCTATCCAGTTTTATACGATTTCTCACACCCATAAACCTCCATTCTAGTTAGCGAAGTTAACCCTTCGACACCAAAAGTGCATGTACCTCGGCCTCCTTCCACCTTATGCTTTTATGCACTTTAATTCCTTTAACACTATGGTGACGAAACACAACGACAATCACATACTACGGAGATGTGTATTTTTCATGCCTAACCAGAGAAGACATGGAGCAACTTAGCTCATCATGCTGGAGGTCCATAGAGTATAAGAAAATCGCTAAGTGCGATAGGAAATTACTACAAACTAGATCAAGGTAGAAAGTTAGAAAAGAAAATAGAGCCACAGGAAGTGTTCTTTTTACGAAATTAAGTTGTATCGGTGAGATTAGAGATAGCAGTGACTTACATGGGCTACTTGAATTCTTTTAAAAGAAAATAAAACAATAAGAAAACTGGCGCATCCTGAGATTCTAAATCGAGTTCCATTTATTTTCCAATGCTTTCGAAATTAAGTTGTATGGGCGAGCTACTTGGATATTTTTAAAAGAAAAACAAACAAGAAGAAAACCGGCGCATCTCGTCGTTTCAATTTCTGATTCTAAATGAGTTCCATTTATTTTCTAATGCTTTTAGACAATCCTATATGTTAATTTACCAGTTATCACAGTGTTTTATATGATAGTTAATTATCAGTGTTATAAACACGGTCGCCGTCACACAATCGAATTATCGAAATGGCCAAATCGTGCAGGTCCACGGAGCCTATTGTTTTCAGAATTACTAGTATTTTATATGATATACCGGGCAGTATTTTTTTTTGATATGGTAGTAGTGGTAGTTGTACACTTGTACTTAAGTGAAAAGTTGAAAAGAAACGACAGAGGGAGCGTGCGCCTGCACTGCAGCGTGCCAAATTGGACGGTGGCGGTGCCAAGTTGGTGCCTCCGACACACGACAGGCCACACGGGGTGGGTCCCACGTGAAAGATCTCGTCCTCCCCTCCGCCTCCCCCTCCCCCTAGTGCGTGCGCGCGAGCGAGTGGGGCCCACACAACGGCGTAAAGAATAAAAAAAATCCAAGATTGCGAACGCTACGTCGCTCGGGGTGGGCCCCACGTGTCAGTGGTACGAGAGGCGGCGGGGGTGTTCGCGTCAGCGGTGACGTGGAGGTGGGGATTTGATTTTCCGCCATGCCCGCGGTCGCCGCGGCCCGCAGCCACTGGGGAGAGATGGGGTGACCAGCGAGCCCAGATTTTGCCGATGACATGTGGGTCCCAGATGGTGGTGTGGCCTACCTGTCTGTCACGGGTGTGGAGATCTTCGGGGAATCGTAGGTAGGTCGCCTGGTTAATTTGCCGCCGATTTCCAACGTGCGAGGGTGGTGCCTTCCTGGCTGTTTTCCCGTTTTGCCTCGTGCTGGTTTTGGTGTACTGGAAGTCTGGACTACTGGCGTTGTTTCTTGCCAGCTTTGCAGTTACGGCCTTCGCTTTGTAGGAATTTACTGATTATGGATCCTTACGTTTGGTTTGGTCTCTTCGTCACCCTTTTTTTAAAAGATATTGGGAATTTATAAAACCCGATCTCTGTACCAACATGGATGTATACAACCACTTCTTTCTATCACTTACTTCCTCCATCCAAAAAAACTTAACCTAGGAAAAATGTGATCCCTCCTAATACAATGAGGGGTCACATCTATTCCTAGATTAATTTTTTTTGAACGGAGGGAGTATGTTTTGTGTGAAATTTTTTTTCTACATGTCGTTGATCAGCGAGTCAGAGAGAAAACTAAGGCAACGCAACAACAATGCGATTCAGCGACAAGCTCTCTTTGAGGGGATTCGAGCAACGATATTGTTTACACCCAAATTTGGTAGCTAGGTTCAAAATAAGGAAAATTGCCAAGATTTGGGAAAGTTGCCAGTTTCCTCCACTGGACCGGTTTGATCGCCGTGTATGGGCCGGGCAGACCGGCAGGGTCCGAGCCCAAGTCAGTTTTTATCGAGTCTCGGGATTCCTTACTCGGGAGGCTATGTTTCAGCTTTCCTTTGGTTCCTATGCCAAATTGGACGTGGAAGAGGACTTGTAGTAGGCAAGACCAACCCTAATATAAGGGACAAGGAACATACAATGTACGATCTATATAATTAGCCAATTGAATCGCTTTTTCAAACATTGCATCTACTTTTCACATAGTTCTAGTCTAGTTCGTCCATCTTTGTCGATTTGCGTTGTAAATCGTCCGTCTTCGCTGCGAGAGTGCGAAATCCTTTGTAGGTTTGTCCCGTAAACCTTCCGTTTGCCCATAAGACGTGTAGTTATCTATCGTTCTATCTAAATCGGCTATGTTAGCCGGTTTAATATATCAAAACCCATCTTGGTCTAGCTTTTTGCTAAATTGAGGGTGGTTGGTGACTCCATATTACCGCAATGCGTTTAGGTGTCCGATCGTGCTTGTCTACTTGTTAAAAAAGTTGCCAACAGATATGCCGCAATGGTCTTCTCCATCGTTGGGTGCCATGTCACAAAGCTGTTGATCCGAGAGGAGTGAGGAGGATTGGTAGAGAAAGCGGAGGGAATGTAAGCTTCGCAGAGCGGTCCCTTATGACAACGCTCCAACCTTTCCACACTCGATCGAGAAAGAAATGAATGGGGAGGTGGCTAGAAATAGGATGCTAGAGTTCTTTTGCAGCGGGCTAGACAAGCGATCATATCCAATTCCAGTAGCCCGATCTGGATGAAAGCACAGGTTGCTCAATCTAGAAAGAAATAGGAGAAAGGTGGTAGTGGCCAACCTCAGATTAACGTGACCACCGAGCTCAAGCAACATGCTTTTGCTCTGTGCTAGTTTGAGACGGCTAGCCTCAACCTTCACCTACACGTGGTATGCCCTCGAGCTCGAGTTGTCATGTGCTTAGCACCAAGGTGACTAAGCACAATTTGGATAAAGATTATAGAGGCGGTAGTGGCCAAAGACTTGTTGGCTGCTAGGTAGAGTAGATGTAGCCATGTGGTTCTCGTGCTCAATAGCTCAAGCGCTTAGGTGCCGCGAGACAATATATAGCCAAGATTGATGGTGGTGTGCGACTGATAATGGTAGAAGAGAAGGGAAAAACCAGGTCCAAAATGCACATACAATTTGTAGAAAAAAAATATAGTCCAGCGTAAAAGCGTAAGCTAAGATATACACCATTATACGACTTAGTTAAACATGAGCTGTCCAAATTATGACTCACTGTAAAATCAACAATAAAAAAGCAATATGTGTAAATATGACCTTTGTGAAGGGTATAAATGAAAATAAACTTTTCCACCGCGCATCCCACTTTCCCACATGGGGAGGGGACAAAACATCTGCGAGAACAGATCTCCACTTTTGCACGGCGCCACGGCCCACCCTCCCCCTCTCCATCCACCCGTCTCTGCATCACCCACCTCAGGTTTCCCTTTTCCCCACCACCATCACCCTCCCTCTCCCTCCACCACCACAATACCACCACACCACTCCATTCCTCCCATCCCATCCCACCACCTCATCGCCTCGTCTCGTCTCGCCTCTCCTCTCCACCCTCCTCCACTTGTCTCCCCTCCGACTCGCCGCCTCTTCCTCCGCCGCCGCCGCCACAGGTCCGTCTCCTGCTGCCTCTCTCTAATTCTTTTTTTTTTCCCTTCCATTTCTTCCTCCCCTGTCGGCCGCCTGTTCCCGTGCCCGACCATAGCTCGCTGGAACGGGCGCGCGGCGGGACGCGTGCTGGTTTGGTGTGCGAGTTCGATTGCCGCTCTGGCGCATGCTGCTCCGGCCTCCGGCGGCGCTTGGCGGCGAACCGGCGACGGGGAAGGGAATTAGAGGGTTTCTCGTTCACTTCGTTGCGCCGCCCCCGGGAATGATACTGTTATCCGTCTCTCTCGCGGGGAGCCCGAGCCCTTGTAGTTGTAGTGTTTGTGTATTGCGTCATGATTATTTCATTCTCTCGTTGCCTCGGTAGTAGTTAGATCACTGACTTCGCTCCAAGTGGACGCTTGGATGGATGCGTGTGTAAACCTGCGTATTGGGAGTGTTAACTCTGATCCAATCTTTTTTACCAGTATCCACATGATACAACTCTTCAGTTTTTTTTTTTTTTGAAATATTTGTTCTTAACTTTTACCGTGCAACAAGTGTGGATACTGAATCTTGCAATATTTAAAAGAAAAAAAAAGAAAACTTAATTGAGGCATATGGAGGATGTAGGTGTGGTGCTTGGGGTGTATTATATAAAATCTTGGGGTTTTGATTCGGTTTATTGATTAGGTTGCATGCGTGGAAGATGCTCTCTTTTATCCGTCCGGTGCTTCATAGATTCTTGGATGTAAACCATGAATTTCTGATCACTAGTTATCAAGTGATATAGTTGAATCTGGAGACCAAATTCCACTTCTCCTGGTGCATGATGGCTAGAATATAGAATATTCTCTTTAGGTTGAATATCGATCTGTCATGGCTCCTAAGATTTGAAGCTGCTGACTGTGATAATAATAATATTCTCCCGACACTGATTTTCGATTTATATGATGCATCATCCTACCATGTAAAGTTGCTGACTGTGATACCTATCTGGAGTGCACTGATTCTACTTTTGTGGTAGTTGTTGTACTGCATGCATGTGCAAATATTCGATCCCTTCGTGTAAAGCTGCTAGGCTTGGTGTCAATTGTGATAAAACTTTTCTAGTGCTTTAGATGTATACGTCCTTTTCCTGTAAAAAGTTATCGTTTTGGTTTCATCTGTTCAGATAACCAGATTACTTTGTCGCGTTGACCTAGTTAAAAGGTTTCATCTAATTTCTTGCTTTCTGCCTTTATTCTGTTTTTCCCCGATTGCAGAGTGAGGTTGCTGAACTTCTCAACCAGCAGCTAGAGTTTTTCAGTATTAGATGGGCTGTTCCTGTTTCTTCACTCGCTGGTACTGATCATAAGCATTCGATCCATCACTGGCATTTAGTTTTTGTACTTACTGCGGCATATGGATCTAGTTGCAGTAATCAAAAGAATATGCATCAATTCATTACACTGCTTGACTTACGAATGTGGATTCCTAGTTCTTCTCTTTTACGGTTGCTTGTAAATATCATCCTTATGCATCCATTCATTGCACTGCACGAATTGTGAATATTGATTCATGTTTCTTCTCATGTAGGATCAATTCTAAGCATCATTTTTCCTTTTGTATTTGAAAGCCATGCCTACATGAACATTAATTTCAAGCATTCACCCCACCTCTTCAGAAGAAAAATGCATGTGGTTGTTCTGGTCTTAGTCTTGAGTCTCAAATAAATTATTTCAATAAGTAAGATAATATGCAACAAGACTAAGTCAAAGCAAACCTTTTTCTAAGAAAGTATCCTCAACGAACTGATCTGTGTTGTTCAGCAACTTTACATATACATTTGATGTCACATTGTACATATTTGTAATGGACATATATAGAACAATGTACTGGAGAGATTAGAAATATGCATGATGTTTTCACTGAGCTGTTAGTCCTAGTATTTAAAAATTGACACTAGACCAAATTTTACACACCCCACTGAATCCATATAATGCCAGTATCACTTGACTGATTAGGGTGTTGATGTTGGATGTTAGCACGTAAAGATTCTCTTCTTAAAATGAATGGCAGAGCTGCTTCCCTTGGTTTTACAAAAACAAATGTTGAGAACACTTTTCTTTTTGTTAGTTACTTAGTTACAGTCTTTAAAAAAGGGTCTATATTTGGTCCCTCAACTATGGACTTGGTATGACTTTTGTACCTCAACTACAAAATCATTCATTATTTGTCCCGCACCTCTTAAAACCGTCCATATTTCATCCTTGAGCCCAAACCGGGGTTTACTCTAATGATGTGTCATTGAAATTGATGGTATTAAATGATCTGTGCCTAGTAATGAGATGTTCACGGTTGTAAAAGTTGAGGCACCAAATAATGGATGGTTCTGTAATCGAGGGACGAAAAATTGGAGATCAAATATGGACTTTTCTTGTTTTTAAATAAAAAAGGCAATTCAACCAAATTTCAGACATCGAATTGAAGGACTAGATTCCATATGACTAAATTCCATACTAAAACTTTTTTAGCTACAGTGCTGCATGGAAATAATCTATTAACATTTCTTCTGAACCACTCTATATGGGCTTTAAGCCTCTAAACATTCAAAGGCATAAAACAAATGCGCCACTTTTATTACAGCCATGCAGTATGTTCTTTTTTTTTCTATTATGTGCATTTTGTTTTTTATATGTTGCTCTTCTAAATGGGTTGTTCAACACGTGTATTTCTTTTCATGCAGAATCTAACTTCCTTGATTTGATCGGATGAAAGCAGCGACATTTGCTTCTGATTGTAGCTTTACTGTTGCCATCTGAATAAGAAGCCTTTCTCTTAATTAAAAACTAAGAAATGGATCGCAATGATACTTCTGGATTTGTCAGTGGGGGATGCAAAAAGGCAAAGGAGCTGCTTATATTTCTGACTTCTTAGTTTCTTTGTGTATTATGTAACCCAGAAGCGCCACTGACTGTACTTTTCCCTTAAGATTGGTCAAATTTGAGTCTTAATATTCTCAGCCACCTGAAGCAGTTGAATTACAACTTGGGCTCCCAGGATTTACTGCATATCCTCATCCACTAGAGGCAATGGATAAACAGCTTGGATTCTTGGAATTTACTGGCACGAATCCAAGAAATGCTGAAAAATGGACCACCGTTAGTCCACCAGTCAGCCAACCAATGGCTTGTTCTTCACAACTTGATGTGCTTGCCCAAGATAGCATGCACAATCCTTTGTCAAGAGGGATCAAGCGGAAGTGGGTTGACTTGTCATTGGGTTTAGGTAACTCCTCAAGCTCATCAGACTCGAGCAAGCAGAGCATGGGAACATGCTGCACCATGTCTTCAGCAAAGGACAGGGACGATGGTTCATCTGTTGATTTGGACATGAATTTTCAGTTTAATCTGTATAATGAAGGCACTTCAAAACTGGATAGTTATGATTGTAATGGCAAGAAAGTTTTGGAGAAGCCTGTGGATCTCGAGTTATCTTTGAATTTTGGACCCTGTGAATCTGCTGTGACGAATGTGGACTTCTCTGCAGCAACCAAACAACAGGCCGTATTTCTGCAATCATGCAATATGTCCTCAGTGCCTACAGTGGACGAAGGATCAACATCTGCTCGCTGGAAATCTGGTGGTAAGCTACTTCCTTATCTGTATCAGTCCAGGAACAACACTGGTCATTTTTCAAGTAAAGAGTTACCAGGTAGCTCCAACCAGTCTCAAGATCTTGCCCCACTGCCAAAAATGATACAAACGCCACAAAGTCCAGTAACCAGTACTTCTGGTGTTGTCAGCTTTCAACAACGCTGCAACAGCACAAAAATCTGTTCACAACCAGGATGTGCAAAAGGTGCTAGAGGTTCTTCAGGGCGCTGCATTGCACATGGTGGGGGTAGAAGGTGCCAGAGAGAAGGTTGCAAGAAAGGAGCCGAGGGAAAAACTATCTTCTGTAAAGCACATGGAGGTGGCAGACGCTGCGAGCACCTTGGATGCACAAAGAGCGCTGAAGGCCGCACAGATTTCTGCATAGCCCATGGAGGTGGCCGCCGTTGTAGCCGTGATGGGTGTAGAAAGGCAGCAAGAGGAAAATCTGGCCTTTGTATTAAGCATGGTGGGGGGAAGAGATGCCAAAAACTGAACTGCACAAAGAGTGCAGAGGGCCAATCAGGCTTTTGCATCGCTCATGGTGGTGGCCGTCGCTGCAAACATGATGGTTGCACAAAGGGAGCTCAGGGCAGCACTAATTTCTGCAAAGCTCATGGAGGTGGGAAGAGATGCACACATCCGAATTGCAGCAAGGGTGCTGAGGGAAGCACTGCTCTCTGCAAGGCCCATGGAGGAGGGAAACGCTGTTCAGCTGAAGGGTGCCCTAAGAGTGTCCATGGTGGCACTGAGTTCTGCGTTGCCCATGGAGGCGGAAAGCGATGTGTGGTACCAGGATGCACCAAGAGTGCAAGGGGACGGACTGACTGCTGTGTCCGTCATGGCGGTGGTAAGCGGTGCCAGTTTACCGGCTGCAGCAAGAGTGCACAGGGGAGTACAGACTTTTGCAAGGCACATGGGGGAGGTAAACGCTGCTTATGGGGCCAATCAGGGTCTGGCCTTGGAGACGGCAGCGGTACTTGTGAGCGCTTTGCAAGGGGTAAGAAAGGCCTGTGCGTTGCACACAATGCGCTGGTGGAAGATAGTCGAGTCCGTGGTGGTCAGACAGTTGGAACTATTGCCCTGCCTGGTTCTACTGGTGCTGATTCTGATGTTAGTCATGGGACCCTTCCTGGAAACTCTTTCAACTTTGGTGAGACATTTGCCGCTAACACCAAGCAGGCTCTTCATCATGTTCAATCACCTGTTCCAGAAGGCAGGGTGCATGGTGGCAACATTGCGGCTATGCTTGCTAACAGTATGGATTATCAGAAGCAATTGAACTTTAGCACCGGGGCTAGCACCTCTGATCGCAACTGGCTGTAATACAGTTCATGCATTAAAAACACCAACCATTCCCTTCGCTGGGCCCTGTTTCATTTCAACTGGCAAGTAACTTATATGTTCCTACCGTGCTGTGTATTTAGGAACTGTGGATCCTGATGATTTAGTGGTGCTGTGTTAATAGGGGGCTTCTAGTGCTTCGTTTGTAGCCATCTTGTGTCATAAATAAAAGGGGAAAGTAGTGTAATTTATATTAGTGCGCAATTGTAAAATTCTAATGTTTGTTGAAGATGTAACATATCTTCGAAACTCATGTTGAGTGTTTGTGATTGCAATATTAGCATTATGGTTGGTACATTGGCTCCTGTCTATGCATTTAACCGTTTGAGCTCTGATATTGAGTTTCCTTGCTACTTAAGCTGTTTTTGAGGTCTCTAGTCAATTAAGTTTATGGTGTTGCCATCCACTCTAGATTGCAACAATGATCTGATTAATGAGCTTATGTTTCTTTAGAAGTTAAACTCTTCCCTGCAAAATGTGAAACTTAGATAATGGTGGATCAATACATATAGCATGCCATTTTTTTTAATTGCAGAAGTTTTCTTTTGTCATGTACTTCTTGTGATTAACTGATTTCACATACAAGTTATGTATGTTACTGTTTAGTGTTTCTTGTGTATGCCGAACTTGCGATTAATTTATCGCTGATGTGCGTGCTTAATCGCTGAGGAAGATGAGAATCGCATTCTTTTTGGATGGTGGTAGTTAAAAAGAGAGATTAACTAAAATATAGTACTTTCTCCGTTTCATATTATAAGACTTTCTAGTATTGCTAATATTCATATATATATATATATATATATATATATATTAATGAATGTGTGTGTGCGCGTCTAAATTCATTAACATCTGAATGAATGTAGACAATGCTAGAAAGTCTTATAACTTGAAACGGATGGAGTAATAACTAAGAATCCATAACTTCGCAGTTCTGATGTAGTACCTTGTCAATTTGGTCGTCTCCTGAGAAGAGCACAGTAATGACAGGTGGTACTAGTTTTTAGTGAATTAGGAGGGTTAGATGGACGGTGTAATATAAACTAAAGAACTCAAACTGCGTGGAGTTTATATTCTGATCAAACTTACAACATCTCGTTAGTTGTTACGGTTTGTGTTCTACCTTATAAAGGAGCTAATCATGACTATTTAAAGAACAGATCCCAATAAAGCTCTTATGATGTGTGGGCTTATGACTTTATAAGGGAGAGCCTCACCTATTAGGGACTTGCGTCTTAATGTAAGAGACGAACATACCTTCTTGCATAGAAGTGGTGGGTTGTTTTCAGTAAGTAACTAAGTATATTATGAAGTACTCCCTCTGTTTCATATTGTAAGACTTTCTAGCATTGCTCATGTTCGTATAGATATTAATGAATCTAGACACATATATATGCCTAGATTCATTAACATATATATGAATGTGGGTAATACTAGAAAGTCTTACATTGTGAAACGGAGGTAGTACAAATGAGATGAACTCTTTGTCACATTTCTTACTACACGTCCAGCTATAAATTTGATTATTTATTTAAAAACTTCTAGTGTTGCGATGCCCAAGTATCTATCCTATCCTTTGAGAAGTGGAGACATTGAAGAAAACTAAAAAGATTACCATAAAAGCTCTTAAATTTCATTTCTAATGTCTATCTTAAATGTGATTACTTGAAGGGAATTAGGCTTAGCGGGATCCCTGAAAGAAATTTGGTTTACAACAAGTACTATAAGCATCGAAACACTCGCTCCTATGTGCCATATAAGCTCCCATGGTGAGGTGGTGGAGAGAAGGGAGGACAAAGGAGAAGCCACCCCTTGCGTAAGGGGTAATCTCTACACAAACTTCAAGAGATGAAAGAAATGGGCCAATGAATTGAGTAAATAAATAAAACAAAAATTACCATAATGCATTGGAGCAAGTTTGATAGAGGCTACAGCTTTGTGTTCCTTGACTGTCAAGAGTCAAGAGTACATAGTACTTGTGTTGGCCTTCATAAGTTACAGCCCATCGTTTGGCTTATCTACGGAATAAGCCAAACGGCATATTTGCAAACGAAAAGTAATTTGTGAATAAAATTTTTATATACGTGTCCTTAGTGATCTACTCCATCCGTCCCATAATATAGCAACTTAGAACTGGATGGGACATTTCATAGTACAACGAATCTAGACACTATAAAATGTTACATCCAGTACTAGGTTGCTATATTATGGGACGAAGGGAGTAAAAGCAAAGGCTGAAAAATAAACTTCGATGAAAAAACCTCAAAATTGGCTTCAAATTTAAGGTTGAAAATTCAAATTTTGGTTGATAAGCATAAGAATAAGCGAAAAGATGAGGTCGTTAGTTTCTGCCTTTCTGAATCTCTTTTAGTTTCAGAGGTCATCCAAGTTTGGCCAATTAAAAGATTGTTGTTCAGTTTGATGTTTTGATTTTTGATTTATTTTGGTAGTATTAGTTCTAAAAGAACATATCATCAGTTCTATGGGTTACCTTGCACATATGCCTTCTTCCACCATTTTGAAGGTTAAGGATGATTTTTCTGGTTAAGAAAATTTATGCTTGTGAAACTGCCCCTATTTGATGCAGAGATTAATTCTTATTCTTAATAGTAAAAGGAAGAGCATGAAATATTTTGCCGGGTCAGCTGAAAAATTGGCCGACCGAATTTCATTAAGATTTAGATAAGATAATTTCATGAGTATAATCTCAACATTAAACTGCCAAGTTAAGAGTGATTGAGCACCCTCAAGAAAACATGTAAACCTAGAGAGAGAGAGAGAGAGAGAGAAGAGTACTCCTCACCAGATTGAAAAAATGCCCGCTGTCTTCCAAATGGAGATTTCTTCCTTGATATCATTGACGAGCTGCTCTGCCACTTCAAATCTGTATTCAAACACTGTCCCGTTTTGCTCTTTCCAAATGAACCAACACACCATCAAAAACAACGAGTCAAAAGACTTCCTATAGCTCGTTCGGAAATGATTCCGCGCCAGTTGCCACCAATCTGCCAACGTCCAATCATCACTGATAGGGAGTTGGAAATTCATATTGATCCAGTCCTGCAGCAAAGTCCAAACTCTGTTGGTGTAGACACATTTGATGAATAGGTGGTTGTGGTCCTCAAAGCCGGTGTTACACAGCGTGCATGTTGTCTCATGTGGCCGTCCTCTTTTGAGTAAGTTGTCAGCCGTTAAACAATGGCCAGCCACATGAAGAACCTAATTTTGGCTGGAGCTCTTGACCTTTTATGGTCAGTGTAAGAGTCATGATCTTTGTTGCCAGCTTGGCCAAGCTGTGAATTAAACTGATAGGTCTGTAATCTTTCAGCAGGGTTCATAATTCTTTCTTAGGAAGCAGGGTGATGATCACCGTGTTCAGTAGGTCCAGGTTTTGGTTGTTACCATAACCAAACTTTAACAACACTGCCATTAATTTTGGCTTGATGATACTCCAATATTTTTGATAAAATAGGCATGTATACCCATCCGGGCCTAGTGACTTCTCATTTGGTATGTTTTTGATTGATGCCCACACCTCTTCTTCAGTAAAAGGGGCATTTAACTCCGACAGATTGAGTGTGGCCATCTGCACCTCATGGAAAAATATCAGTTTAGATGCATTCCTGGCCAAGCCCATAACCGTCTTGAAATAGCTGGTAGTCATCTATTGCCTATCCTTCATTATCGTAGCCAAAGTGTCCTCATGTTCCAGCCTTGGGATCAACAGCGTTCTACGTCGAGTTCTCATGTTCATGAAGAAGAAGGCAATGCTTGAATCTCCCTCTTTCAGATCTCTTATTCTGGCTCATTGCCTTATTCTTATACTTTCAAGAGAGGCCAGTGTAAGATATCTTTCCTTCAACGGTGCCCTAAGTCGCCGCTACAAACATGTCAGAACTTTTCTTGCGCCACATCCAACCTGAGAATTATCTCATTCGCAATCTACAGTTGCAACCTAAAGTTGCTGATGCGTCGCTGTCCCCATTTGGTTAGCACCTTACAATCTTCCATTTTTTGACATATAGAATACGATAGGGGTCTTCACTATCAACATCCCTCTACCATGCCTCCTGAACCACCTCCATGGACCATGAAGTCATCTAACTTTGTCCAAAAGGTCTCAAATTTGAATCTTCTGTGCCTAATCGGTCTGTCCCCACACGATAGCAACAAAGGGCAGTGGACAAAGCCAGATGAACTCATGGCCTGCATATGCGCTTCAGGAAAAACCTCCTACCATTGTGTTGTGACAAAAAGCCTGTTAAGTTTCACCAAGGTTGGTCTTTATTGTTCATTGCTTCATGTGTACCTTCTTTCAAACAAGTACATCTTCTTGAGTTCTAGTTCATCTATCTTGCTTCTAAAAATGTTCATCATCTGGTGTTTGATTCTAGAATTGTTCTTGTATGTAGCTGAGGTGATAAGATTGAAGTCCCATACAATTATCCATTCCCCTGGATAAACCTCTCTAATAGTTGTCATCTCTTCCAAGAACATCAACATCTCATCATCCCTTTGAGGCCAGTACATCGAAGACAAAACCAAGATTTGTCCCCCCTGAATCCATTTCAGGTAAACTGAGACTAACCACTGCCCGATGTGCACCACACCCCCTCTGGAATAAATCCCCCTTCCAAATTGTTGGAGGCATGTCACGAGGACCTTCGACCAACCTGCCGAAACAACCTAATCCATCAAGCTTCGGCTAAGTCCAAGGGGTGCGCCTAAGGCGAAGCTCTTGGGCGAAGTCAAACGACGAGACCAAAGGGTTCACCATCAAGCCTAGGCAAAGCCAGGCGACAAAGACCGAAGGGTTCGCCACCAAGCTCACCATTCGGCCGAAGAACCACTAAGGGCGAAGGCCGTAGGGCGAAGCATGAGGTCGTCGTCCAAAGTAGAAGATGCCTTCGGCTAAGGGCCAAGGAGGTCCTGCGGCCCATAGAGGCCCTTTGCCACTAATAGGCCGGCCCAAGAAGATCGCCTTAGGGCCCATGAATACAAAACACATTGTATACCAACTCTAATGTCCCTATCATAGGGGTAACCATGTAAATTCCCCTTATTAACTAAACCCTAGAGGGTATGAGCCTGTACTAAAACTATAAATAGCTCCCTAGGGCCGTGTAATTGGGGGATCCCAAAATTTTTTACCGATTAATATATTGCTTTACTATTCCAACAACTCATTGAGTGAACCACGTCCTTTGACGTGACGCAGTTGTCTTTCGACAACACAAATGATAATGACTCCTCTCCTTGTGTGGATTGCAAGAAACACAACAAAACAATTGGACCTAGGACCACAAAG